GTTTCATACTAGAAATCAATAAGTTTTAAAAACCAAACAATTCATACTATATCACATCATAAATGGAATGAATTAACAAGGCAGGATTTATAAACTGAACGAACAAAGCGAACAGAATAATCCCAAATTCATAAGAAGATCGTCACAGAATAGTGTACATAAATCATTTCATAGGTTATTACAAATGGGCATAATCATCTTACACTAATTCACACTAATTCCCAATCCACATATCATTGCTCATGGAAAACAGAATGTTAATAATAAGAAGTATTAACGGTAAATAATGTACATTTGTAGTACTATTACTCATAGTGCAACAACAGAGTGCTTGACCTTCCCAAGGTATGCCTTATACACATACATAGCTCACACATTAGTTCATTTCCTTGTTGCATCGTTTTCGGACTCATCTCGCTTCAAATGAATTTACATACATCAAAAAGGTATCAATTACAAATTCTAAAAATATCAGAGGGTCGAGCACGTAAAACGGAGTAAGCCATTTTTTCTAGCATGGGCCACTCGTGCGGCTGTGAGCCCCACATGTGCGGCAAGGCTTCCCGCACGTGCAGCTGTGAGCCCCCCACGTGTGGCAAGGCTTTCCGCACGTGCGGCAGTGATCCCTGCACGTGCGGCGATCTGGGCAGATTGCAGTTCGAAATTTCATCAAAACTCAATTTTTGGTACACTTTTTCAAGGCTCAAAATAGGTTCTTTAAATGTTAAAATATGGTTCAAAGATCATATACATAGACATTAAAGCATCTCTAAATCTCAACATAACTTGGATCTTGATCTTCTAAACTTATGAATACAACCCAATTCCACAATACCTCCAACTTCCTTGTCCATACACCCACACACACACACATATATACAACCACATATCCATATAGATGGTTTCAAGGTGATGATTAAGGAAATAAGGTAAAATTCTCACTAGATAATCCAACACAATACCAAATCCATTAATCATTTAACACAACAACATAAAAGAATTCCTCATTTATTCAAAGAGAGGGGCCAATTAGAAATAAGTAGACATACCTTGAGTCTAATTCTCTATAACCCTTTAACTTTCCCCAATTCCTTCCTTGAAGAACTTCCTTCTCCTCCTCTCAAACTCTTTTCTTCTTACTAACCCTCACCAGGAGCTATTTTATATTTTGAGTGATAGGTTTCCCCAAGTCAAAAAAAAAAAAATATAAGAGGCATTGATATACATAAAAGTAAATAAAGACAAAATTTAATTAGTTTAATCATTCCTAATTGAAATTTCATAGAAAATCATACTATGACCTAAAAATCATGCTGATCTCAAACATAAAACCAATTTCAGATAATTAAGCTTCTAAGGCCTTCAATTTCTGATTCAAACACTAGAATTGGAACAGATATTCCTCATATTAAACAGATACACATCCGTAAGCATAAGCTTCACTTCATTAAACTTACTTTCACATAAAATAAGTATTCAGATGCACGGATTAAGGGACCGAAAGTGTATCAGGAAATATGTACGAGGGTCGGGTTATTACATCCCAAGACCCATTTTTCACCTTTCTAAAAGTACCTAATTAGCTAAGCTAGTAAATTTTCTTCATTGAAATACCAAAGATGGTAGATCAAATCTATTCAATGCTCCTATATCAACTCATACATTGTGTTTCTTTTTTATGGGTTTCCAATGCCTTTACTCCTTAGTAAAAAGGGGGAACAAAGCATTTTTTTAAAAGAAAGGGGAACAAAACATTTAAAAAAAAAAGAAAGAAAAAAAAAAAGTGAGAAAAAGAAATCTTTGACTTTTTAGTATATGTTATAGGCTTTTTGATTTTTTTTTAGCAACTTTTAAATTTTTAAGCTAAAACTAAACCTATATATTTTTTTTACTAAGAAACGATGACCATTAAATAAAGAAGAAAAGTGTGAGATGCACCTCACATAGGATTCTAATCCAAACCTCCATAAGTGTAGGTTGCTGTCTTTTTTTTACCATTCTCCTATCACATAAGCATTAGACAGAACCTTCTCACTATCACAAACCCTCATTGGTGGTTGAAGAGTCATTTGGGTGTGATGGTGGGACACACAACAAAGACTTGAAAGAGCGAACCATGAATGATGACACAGAGCATAAAATGTACTTGGGAGGAGATATATTGGCTTTGATGGTTATTGTGAGAGGGACATGTCTTAGTTAATCAGCTTTAAAGCATCTAAGCAGCATCTCATGTCGTGAAAAGGATTTTTTACCTTTGCCTCTGTTTGGCCCTTTTCTCTAGTTAGATAGATTTTTTTTTTGACTTGCATGTGTATGAGAGAGAGAGAGAGAATGGAAGAAGTATGAAGCATAAAAAGAAGGAGAAGAGAGGAGAAGATGAGATAAAAAAGGGTGTCAGACTATTACCATGTTTAGGTTCAAAACAAAAAAACATTGAAGAATGTTTCTAGATTTATATATACATGAACTAATGCAGTAACTACTTATCACCTCTATTTCAAGATGAAAGCACACTTCTTTTTTTTTTGGTCACAAAAGTGTTTGGGACTTCGCAATACAGTTTTGTTACTTGCACAGAAACTAAATACAAAACTGGAGAGATACAATACAACCCTCTAGAATCACAAGAATATAAGACTCATGCGAGAAGATTGTCTAGCTCACTGATTAATTTATCTGTTCCTAACTTTTTGGGCCTTGTTAATCCCGAGTACATAAAGTCCATGCTTCATATGTATCAAGTAATTACTGAGCATAAGCATTGAATGGCTCTAGAGTTATGGTGATTTTAAATAACAATTTCAGAATATGTACTAGTATCAACAATACCGTTATATGAGCTAATATCAAATAATATTGACCAATATATTAATAAATATTAAAAAAAATTAAGTCTTGATTTAGTTTAGTATATATTGACTGATATTTAAAACTTTGGTTGTAAGCTTTTGAAGACTTTTTTCTTTTTGTTTTTGTTATGAAGAAGAAAACTACAAAGAGAGAGAGAAAAAAAAAACCAATGAACCGAAGTTATTATATTACTAATTAGAAAATGTTGAGAGATCTATTTTCTAAGATAAGCCAATGCTACATTCTGCTATCCTAGCTGTTGGTAAGTCACTAAAATTTATCTCAGAACTGCATCCTTAAGAATACAAGAGGAAAGTAGGCATTACCTCTTAAATGCAAAGATAAGTACTTGCAAGGTTAGGTTCAAAGTCTGCCACTCAAGTAGAAGCTGGTGTTAGTCTTCTTGCAATTTACAGATTGCCTGAGGATAAAATGAAAGTACCTATAATTAATGCAAAAAATAAATAATAAAAATAGTTTGGCTAAACCACTATTTTTACCTCAAGATAATACTTCAGCAAAAGTGCTAGTTTAATTCAAGCCTGTCCTAGAGTTGATGCAGTTATACCTAAGGAAACCAAGGAACTAACTTAAATAGGTCCATATATGCTGGTTGAGAATGTTTCTAGTTCTTAGCCTAGCTCTATCACTACTCAAGGAACAAACCCCTCCTTAATCTGGACTTAGAGAAAGAAAGAAAACAAAAGTCGACTTGTCAGTTGATCAAATAATACAACCACCACCAATTATAATGAAAACATACTATACCAGGTTATCAATGACTTGATCCAGTATGTCATGGAAATAAATCTGCAAGTCATCACCACAAGTGTAGTTTCAACATATTATACATGATAATTCTTTACGGAAAAAAAAACACGAAGGATTCACAGTGCGAAAAGAGCATCAACCAACAAACACAACACTAGAAAATAATACTTTTTTGCATAAAGAAAAGGGAATGTCATGCAAATTAAAAGATAGATATATTGGATTACAAAATATGAAATATCTTTGACAAAGAAGTTCTTGCACATCATAAATTTCAAAGTTTTCTGGCACACCAAGCAACCAGAGGAGCTTACACATCTGATGATTATAGAAAAAATTATACTAATAACAATAATGTGCAATGGTAGAGTACAACATGGGAGAGCTCGGTTTTGACCTTGAATCCTCGCGCAGAAATGAGAGTGCTCGAATTCGACCTTGGATATTGGAGATGAGGGGGTGATCAATAGGTGTTGTGTTTATGTAATAGGGATTGTGTGCTGGATGTTAAGAGAGATGTAGAGAAAAGAAATGGTAAGATTGGCAGAACCATAAACTACGACAGCAGAAAATTGTGGTAAAAGTATGAAGCAAACCTTTGATGAATTGGCGCGCTTCTTCCTTACTAGATGGTTTTTCCCTTATTGCACCTTCATAGACAACCACCTCCAAATCATTTGAAGTTAGGAATATGAAATAAGTAACAAAATGTAATTTTATTTCTCCAAAAAAAAAGGGGGGGGGGCAAATCCCTGACAATGTTTTGAGGCATGTCCCATCTCCTTCAAAATGCAATATATCCTAGTTGCATAGATGGAACTAGGCGATCCCAATCTTGATTTGATCCACCAAATTGATTAAATAGGGTACATCAAGAGAAATGAAACAGGACATACTGTGTCAGCTGCTATTAAAAGTGTTGGTTTGACATCCGTCTCTTGATTATCAATTGTTTGAAGTTTCAATACGAGGGCATCAGCCTGAGATGCAGTGCAATTTACACCCAATCAATGGACGAGACTGGAACCAAAACTATTCCATCTTAGGACAATGCATACAAAGAAAACAGCCAAACAGAATGCTAGAACTTATCAATGTAATATATTTATATATATAAACCTCAAAAACATTGGCAGGAAAAATTGTAGAAAAAAAATAATGATAAAATCTATTATGTCCAATTTATTCCTGTTATTCATGGGAAAATGGAGGGAATAACCAATGATTCACCAAAAATAAAAACTAAAAAATAAAACTTAACAGAAATGTCTAGGACAATAAACTAAAACATCTGATCCACAACTCTTGAGGACAAATCTACATAACCAAGTCTTGCACGTATCGTCTTTGGAAAACCCGACTTCAGGGAGTTCCAAACTCGATGGACCTCGTCTAAATTGGATGTATCAGCATACAAACTAATCAGACAATGGTAAGCAACACACACAAGCCATTTGAAGAGCTCCCAACAGAAATAAAACTACATTAAACTATTTTTCAACTACATATTGACAGCAATCACAACACTTTGAATCTTATACAATATACAATATATAGCCATAGATGAGCTGGCTTCAACAGCTACAAAAAAATATATAGAAAATAAATACCAGTTGATGTGCTGAATTATCATATAGCAACAATCATTCTATTTTTGTCAATTAAACTCATATACCTTGCACATGTCAGGATTAGGTTCACTCCACCAAGCACCTCGCATAAGCCTAGCATCATCAAAATTGAAACCCTTATCATGTATTGAATTTGATGATTTCTGAACCTGTGAGAAATGAATGGAGTAAAATTATCCATAAATATATATTAAGTTTTGTCATTTGCTAAGTGATGCTAGGTAAGTATACCTCATCAACTTTTATGCTACTCCTTTGTTCTCCTCCAATTTCAATCTCCGTGAGACTAGTTCCATAGACCTCTCCCCAAATTGAACACTTAAAGAACTCCATCAAATTTCTTGTTAAGGTTCCAGTTTTATCAGAAAAGATATACTCCACCTGGCCAAAGGCACAATTCATCATTAAAGTCAACCTTGGCAATCAGTATGAAAATAAAGTGGAAAGGAAGAAAAATGCAATAATGACCTTAGAAGCTTTTCCGAATAAATAAATCACACAACATTTTCCCAAGAACTATAGCAGAAATAGAAATTTTCTTTAAAAATATATATGAAGGAGAGAAAAGGAACTATTTGTGATCCACCCTTGAGCAGGTCAACAAGAAACCAGTTTACCTGGCCAAGCTCCTCATTCAGATTGGATGTCCGTGCCAATGCAGGGGTGTTGGTTTCAACATGGTACATATGCAAATCGTTGTTAATATATTGATTGGATTGTATAAATTTGATTGTCTAAAAATAGAAAAAGGAAATGAATACTTAAAAACAAAAAATCAATGATCAGTTTGGGAAAACAAATACTGTAATAGTGTGATCCCTACCTCAATTGAAACATAAAGAGAAATAGGGATAATTGGTGAATACAAAGTAATTAGGGTAAACATATTTAAAAAAGCAACCTGTAAAAAATGTACTTGGGAGGAGATATATTGGCTTTGATGGTTATTGTGAGAGGGATATGTCTTAGTCAATCAGCTTTAAAGCATCTAAGCAGCATCTCATGCCGTGAAAAGGATTTTTTACCTTTGCCTCTGTTAGGCCCTTTTCTCTAGTTAGATAGATTTTTTTTTTTTTTTGACTTGCATGTGTATGAAAGAGAGAATGGAAGAAGTATGAAGCATAAAAAGAAGGAGAGCCCAAACTAAATAATCAAAAGTTTTGTTACTTGCAAAAAGAATCAAAAGTCTATATAACTAAATAATCAACTGCTAATGTCTTTGAGAAAATACAAAAAGAGAGCCCAAACTGTCTCAATGGAATAAGGAAAACACTAAAACACTACAAGGGAGTATCAAAGTCTAGAGAAATTCACCTCAACTAGTGTCTGCTCAAACGCAACAGCGAGAAGCTTATCCTAATCAACAAGAAAGATTTAATAATAAAAGGAAATTAGTAAGATAATGAGAGAGACGTGTCGAAGTAATCGTTGCACATGAAACATGACAATAACTTACCAACCATCTAGCAATCCCTGGAAGTTCTGTAACATCAAGCCCATGAGTGAAAATAGGTTTCACTGTCATATGAAAATATGGTGGCTCGACAAAGCATACTCTCAAAAGGCCAAGGAAAGGCCAGTGACGAAGGAACTTTACCCCAACCAAGACCTAGAAGAGACAAAGAAAGACATTTTCTGTTAAATGCAAGAAGAAATTACTAAGCATTAGTCATTTTTTCGCAATCAATGGCACATGACAACTATTCCAATTTTAAAAATCATTACAAAACATTCTAGATCGATTCTGTACTCTACAGATTACACATTTCAGATGCAGGGAGAAAACATGAAATTCAGAACAGTATAACAAAGGATAACTCATTATAGATGTGTGATGTAAAAGTAAAATTTAAATTCAACAGTAATTTATTACCTTCCCTTCAACATGCATGCCCATCAAATGCAACTTTGCCCGCATTCCAAAACCCAATCTCTTACTTAATTTCACAGCAAGTATTGCACTCATATCATCTGCAGTCCGAAAATTCATTCCCAACTCCAAAACCTGCATTTAATGAATTTCAACTATTATTCTGGCTACGAAACAGATTATGACTAGAAGTAATACATTATTGACATGAATCCACCATGACTAAGACAGTATTACATACCAAGTGGTCGTCATCAGTGGTTTGATGAAGAACCCTCATTTTTGTGAACACAGGAGGTGATCGTCCCATATACAAATGTTGAACCATAGCGTCTTTCTGTTTATATACCCAAATAATTCTCAAAACTAATTATCAACACATTAAAAATGATTTAAAAACACAATTTTCATGCATAAAACTCATCCAAAATGATGTGGTGTAAGTAATGCCATTTTTCAAATTATAAGTCATAACATTGGGCGTTTTAGTTTGAAATTAATATAACCCCCAAAAAGCCACATTAGTTGTATGCGAATTTTGTACAAAATTTCCGTTCGTGTAGAATAGGAAATCCCTCAAAGACGAAGGCATTTTGAACTAGAAAAATGGAACAAGGACAACAATTAATCGTATTTAGGAGGGTAGACTGGTACCACAGTCCATGGTTTGTACTTCTCCAAGAACCAAGGTATGATAGGGGGGAGAATTTTCTGTGAAACAATGGGCTCCATACAAATAGGCCAAATCTTTTCGACCGCATGGTTCAACCACCGCACAGTTTCAGAATCAAAGAGTACCTTTAGAAAAGAAAAAAAAAAGTTGAAATTATAAACATTTATACATATTCATACGGCAAGAAAGTAAATTCTCAGAAGGAATCTCAATATCTAACTGCATACATATATATACATAGCAACAAACATACATAGAGATAATAAAAAAGATGCAAAGAAAAAATGCCACATATTTGTTCGAGAAGTTAACGTGCACTCCACTATGAACAAAAACAAATTTTGTGGAGAAGTTAATAGGATAACTATTCTATTAAAAAAAACTTCATTGATACCTAAGTTTATTAAATAGTCCGAACAAATTATTGAACAACTTAGTCCACGATGCAGGGTTCTTAACTTTTTTATCCCCAAATTATAAAGTTGTTAATACAACTTCAACAGTATGTATTCCAATCAAATTTAATCAGGTAAAGCAGTTCAAAACAGCATTTTAGTCTCATCAACTGATAGCCTTACTCGCATAAATACAACCAAAATAAATATGAAAAAGAAAAGAAAAGAGAAAGTCTGCCAAAAAGAATATCACATACTGCAAGTTAAAACATGTAAGAGGAACTATATAACACTTCTGTAGACTAAAAAGATTTATTAAGCTGATATACAAGATATTATAATTTTTTGGCAATAACAATGTTATCAATGAAGTCGGACAAACCTGGCCATAACAAAAAGTTCTCCAACCATTTAAGAGCCCTCACCAACATACTTCTGAACCAACTCAGAGCCAGAAACCCTTATAAAGGTACAATCAGTATGAGATCTAGAGATAGAGAGATCTAGAGAGAGAGAGAGAGACAGTGGAGCTCGCTACCTCGCTGGTGCAGATGACAGTGGCAACGGAGCTTCAAAATCGCTCTGCATCTTGAAATAGATCTGAATCTTCAAAATCGCTTCGAAATCGCTCCGAACAGCCGACTGATATCGATCTGAATCTGCGAAATCGCTTCGAAATCGCTCTGAACAGCCGATGGAGCTTGTGTTTTTTGAAGCTCTCTTCAAGAACAGTCGGTTTATCTTTCGAGAGACGAAGCTTCTTCGTAGAGTTATCTCCTCCGTCTTCTTCGTCGCTGAGAGAGAGAGAGATGTCTGTGTATAAGATAAGAGAGTATAAGAGAGAGAGGGCTCTGATTAAAAAATAAGGTTTCAAAAAAGGGGCGCGTGTATCTACCGCATTTGGAGGCGGTTTTAAACGCCTTTAAACAGAAAATGGTGCCGTTTTGGTTAAACAAATATGCGACAGTTATAAAACGTCGTTAAAAAAAAAAAGTGATGTTTAATAAAATGCCTATAGACGTCCCCGAACGTCCTGGGAGGGAAATCCCCGTTTTGTTCGTTTGGGCTCACTACAGTTCAGGACTCAAATGTCATGGTCATGTATCTAATCTCGCCGAGTGCAATGTAAGACCGATGGATCATCAAAGAGTTCAAATCCGGCAAATCGTTTTTGAAAACAGATTTTTTTGAAAGAAGTGCAAACATGGACTGCTTTGCTAGATACAGAATCACCACCTACATATTTTATTTTGGGGAATTTAGGAAACCCTGACTCGTTTGACTAAGGCCACGTGTCCGTCATCACCAAAGTTGTCTCGGTTCGGGAACTTGGGTACGATTGGGGAAGGTCACTTCGTGAGCACCCCCACTCGCCCGATCAAAAATCGGCCTCCACTAACCATGATATCTAGTTTTGAAAACATTATGCGTTCTTATTCCGGTTATTAGCCTAGATTTACTATGTGATGCGTACAACATACAAGTATAGACCGGATCGCCTGAATTGGAACAAAACATTTCATGTTTGGTTTTTGAAAGCGGTTTGCTACTCGCAAGTAGGCTAAAAATGCAGATTTTGCCACCCTCGGGTGGGCTTAGAAAAGATGGTTTTGCCACTAGCTAGTGGGCTTAAAACTCACAGTCAATGCATTATCCCAATTCAGATAACCCAACCTTCACCCACAGGCATTCAGGTAGGTATATCACATAAGCAAATAGCCTCATGGTAAGCATGCTATCATGGCAGTCACTCACACGCATGCAAGGATGCTAAAGCATAAACACTTACCGAGTACTCCAAGCCAAAATAGAAGCTATGTTAGAAATCCATGCATGATCCTAACTATGCTGAAATGCCTAATACAACACATGCAAAAATGCAACTACAATAGGCTCAGCTATTCTAAAATGGAATGTGATGATGCTATAGCTAACATATATTTAACTCGGAATTGAAATACAATGCAGTTAGTATGATGCGCCGAGCCCGGTGCATGCAAGACAGATGAATGAATGCAAACATACGAGCATAAGTATGCTAATTGAAACATGCCCTAATCTAACCATCATAAGCTAATAAATAAAAGGGAGAAAGAAGTGGGGTTGGAAGACATACATCACACTCACGCACACTTATTACAACATTGCCCTCGCTTGGAGGGTCCGAATAAATAATACACTCCGAATAAATAATTAAACATTACAAAACCCTAATTAATTAACAAATTAACTAGGAAAGCAAATAAACTAGCACACAAATTCATGGACCACCTCAGCTTTGTTCCGAATGATGAAAGATGCATGCTCGAGTTGCCTTGCGCAGAAATTCATTGCGATGCCCTGATTCGCCTCTGTTTGCAATTAATCCCGGAATGTTGTGCAAGGCTTTAGAGAGTTGCTAATTTCTGATTTGCTGCAACAGAGAGCAAGAAATGGGCATGGCAAAGTATTTTCACATATGTATGCACACCTCGATCCTTGTGCCACCAATCACGTATCTCGATGCATGATGGTCGAGGAGTCGAATTGCACGACTCGATGTGAAATGAATGCACATATAAACACAACAAGGCCTAGACTTCATCATGGTTAATCCAGAGTGTTGGCAACCGGGAATTGAGACACGTTCCGTCACTTGCAGTACGAAACGTCCCTCGTTTCCTGTGCTCGGGCTAACTCCTATCCCAAACACAATGCAAATGAGAATGAGATGGCATACACAATACGACTAACATGTAACCTAGCATACGCAATGCTATGGACTAAAATGGCATACATGATGTACGATGGACTTACACCAACATGAGTGGACCTCAGCCACACTCACATCAGTGGCCATATGATGGAAATGAGACAACCAAAACACATACAAACATGCACGATGCAAGGGATCGATCCTAAGGTATCAAATGCCACTCTATGAAAGCATGAAAAAGGATGCAATATGGCATACAAACACACAAATTCCAGCTCTGAAACATGATACAAAATGGTCCTGAAACATGCAAACATGGCACACAATGCAAGCTAGGGGGCCTAGGTACCGAAACTAGTGAAGTGCGTTACACTAGAGGTACCCAAAGCAATGCACTAATGGCAAAACCAATCCCAAACAGACCCTAGGCAGGTCTGAAACAATGGGGAAATGGCCTAAAATGATGGCTCGGAACGCCACGAAATGGAGCTCATTCAATGGTCGGTAAATGAGCATACAAGCCCGACTCTCAAACGCATTTAAAGAGTATAAAACATGACAATATGTCATTCAAACAAGCTCTGAAATATGATGTATAATGGCCCCAAAACAAGGAAATACCTCAATATATGCATGTAATGGACCCCGAAACTCAAAGCTAAGCAAGTGTATTGAACCACAAGCATGCAAAACAAATAGCATTCAACCATGAGACCCAAAAACAGTGCTAAATCAGTCCAAAATATGCCTAAGATCAATTTAAGGCATGGCCAAAAAGTGCTAACATGAAGGGCCAAAACAACATGCAACATAGGCCAGTAAGCATGGTTTTCACTACATGTATATGAAGCACATGAGGGCTCACCAAACCAACCAAAAACAGAAGTATGACATGCCAAAATATGCCCAAATAACCACTGAAACTCAGTCAACGTATGCAAAAATGATGGGCTCCTTTGGAGGGCCATACAAGGGGTTGTTCCACACCTATATGACGGACACACCGAATGGCAAAACCAACTCTGGAAATAGGTTATGAAGGACCTAAAACCCACGAAAAAGAGCCTGAAATGGATCAATGAAGCATGCAATGAAAGGTCCCCTTGAAAGGCCTTAAAGAGGATTGCTCCACGCATGCATGAGGGACACAAAATATGGCACAATGGGCTTTGGAAAGAGTCAAGGTAGACCTTAAAACTCACCAAATAGGGCCTGAAATGTGACTTTGAAGCATGAAAAATGGAACCCCTTTGGAAGGCCAAAAGGGCCAACAAACAAGACTAGGAGAGAGGGGGTCACCCCCCTCTGATTTTGGCTCTCAAAACAGTGTGCTAGCCGTTGAAAATTCACTAGATTTCAGTGGCTAGAAGGCCAAACAAAGCATGCAACAAAGGCCTAGATGCAAGGCTCAAAATAAGAGGCAAACAAGCATACAAGGGGGGTAGGTGACGTCAAACAGAAAAATGCCCTTAATCAAACATCAAGAGGGGCTCAAAATACGACTCTTTTCAGTTTATGACAAATCTCGAAAATGCTCACAAGTAGGGCTAAGATATGAAGCAAAATAAGCCTACA